AGAAGGTGCCACTTTACTTGAAGCTTTTATGTATAATGCATTACAAAGGGTTATTAAAGGGTATGATGCATTATGAATAATTTTAATGTGCCTTGTAATACATTGTATCTTGTGGTAATATAAATAATTACCAAATTTAAAATGCAGTGTAACAATTAATTTATAAGTGTTATAATGTATTAACTGTGGTTACAATTATTAATGAGATTGAACAATGCATAATAAGGTGCATAATGCATTAAAACTACTACTATAATACATAAAGGATTTAAGTGTTACCAAAATTAAATATGGACCCTTTTCACAGACTGCGACAGCCCATTGAATCATCAGCATTGCAAATCCTGCAAAGTTTTTTTATATTTTCAATTTTTAAATGCATGCACATTTATAGGACTTTACTTTGTATTATATTACCTTTGCATTAAATTACAAAAAACTAGTTTACACTGCTGTGAGGGTGTTTCTAATGCAGGGTCTATGGGAGTTAAGGTGAATTTGACATTGTTTTTTCTCCCGACTGCCGTTATCAGACTCCGTTTTTTGTTGTTTTTTTTCCCCATCTTTTTGAAAGTCGTGAAAACACTAGTTATTTAATGTTGACAATATAGTTGTTATTTTGAGCAAATGGGAACAAAATATATTTGGCTGCGTTTACACTTGGCATTACCATGCAATCTGATCAAGCAGATCAAGCAGATCGCATCATCAGTCAATCAGAACACGGCGCGTTTACCAGGAGTGTGGACACGACTCGAGCGACTCGAGACTTGACTCGGACTCGAGTCCCAAATGTGATGACTTGCGACTCGACTCGACATAATTAAAGAAGACTTGAGACTCGACTTAGACTTTGACAGCAATGACTCGAGACTTGACCCGGACTCGAGTCCCAAATTTGATGACTTGCGACTCGACATAATTAAAGAAGACTTAGCCTTTGACAGCGAGACTTGACTTGGACTTGAGCCCTGTGACTCGGAAAGACTTTATGATCAGATCAAAGTCGTTATAGACACATCCTTGCAGCGTATGTGCGTGCGCTTGACTGGCAATAGGCCAGAGACTGCGTTCAGGGAGCGCTGGATAGGCTAGTATAAATTAATGGAGTAATAACACAACTTGCGACAAAAGAACCGAGATAAGAAAAAAAAATTACATGATTCGTCTAGTAGCGATCTCCGCTCGTGAAAAGCGCTGCCCTGTCCTTTGATCACTGGTGCTCGCCTCATCATCACCGTGACCGCTGCTGTTAAATATTCCTCACTTCTTCTGTTTGTCCGACACCGAGGTGCACCATGAGTGACGGATCTGCATCCCGCCACGACCCTCGCACTCTGCCAACTCGATCTGCTTTAATTTTAGTTATTTGTAATACACACTTCTAAGACCTGTTTTTGTCAGATCTCCACTGTTTTTGTTCGATCAGTTACAAAAAAATTACATGATTCGTCTAGTAGCGATCTCCGCTCGTGAAAAGCGCTGCCCTGCCCGGTTGATCGCCGCCCAGTAGGGACGCGGAGCGGGCATGATCACTGCTGCTCGCCTCATCATCACTGTGACCACTGCTGTTAAATATTCCTCATTTCTTCTGTTTGTCCGACACCGAGGTGCACCATGAGTGACGGATCCGCATCCCGCCACGACCCTCGCACTCTGCCAACTCCATGTGCTTTCATTTTAATTTTAATTTGTAATAAACACCTCTGAGACCTGTTTTTGTCAGATCTCCACTGTTTTTGTTCGATCAGTTACATATTTTATTTGCATGTGCATTTTATTTTATTTAAACCTCCATTAAGTTTAAAATTAATCCATAATCGAGATTTAAAGTTATGGTGCAACAGGATTAATGTTCATCTTAAATATAACTTAAATCCAGGATCAAAATTATGGGTTAAAATGTAAACCTGCTTATTTTTAAAGGTTTAAAGTTTGGTGCAACAGAATTATTAGATAAACCTTGATTTAATCTAGATTTAAAATTAATCACTACAAACTATTTAGCTATAATTTGAAGAAGAAAAACGCACATTAGGCCTAATGTCTGAAGTGGGCAAGCAGCAATTGGCCTAATGATCATTTAAAATATAATTTGAAGAAGTGTTTCTTTCACAAAATGAGTATTGTATATATAACTATAAAGGCTACTCATCTTTTCTCCCTCTGGCAGGCTCTCATGTCACTTCCATTTCTTTCAGGATAAATAAATGAATTCACGTGTTGTAAATCAGTCTGTAGGCCTATAGCACACACAGCCCCTAAATTTATCGATCAACTATGCATATTATAAACTTAACATTTAACATGCAACATTTTTTTCTATTAAATGATGTTGTCTTTGTTACTCGTAGTTATAAAGTATGGCATTTTTGAATGACTGTCTTCATGAGCTTGTCTACATCCATATTGCATGTTTCCTCTCACTTG